GAAGAAAATGGATGGATGGATGGATGGATGGACAATGTGATTTTCTGGATTTTTTTCTTCGATTCTCTCTCTCACAGTTGAAGTGTATGGTATCTACAATCCATTCACAATTACAGACCTCTACATTCTTTGTAGGTGGGAAAACTTGAAAAATCAGCAGTGTAATACGTATTTTCCTGATGTGTATATATCAATCAGAGCAATTGATATCTCACACTGCTATTCTTTTTCTTATTTTGCAATTTGTCAACAACAGCTGCAAAGCTGTGCTGCTGTAAGGTATGTCTGTTTAAGAATTGTGACAATATGCTGAAATTTTAAAGTGACAAATATCGGCAGATTGAGGGCAAACATCTGTTAGTTCTCATAGTATATGTTGTGAATGACTCTCAGCTACTACCTCTCCAAATTTTAGCTCAATATCTAAAACAGTAACAAGTTATAGCCATTTTCATGTTTGCTAAGGTTGATTAGCTGTGGTGGCCATCTAGAATCGAGTTGACTCAAATGTTACGTCAATAAAATCCTTTAGTTTGCCAATAACAAGATATTTTGGTTACCAAGAAACACAAATGACTGCCCATCTTTTATGGCGGTTTGTGATGAAAGTGCCAGAAACTATTAATCTATCTTGCCTCATCATGACGTTTTACTTTAGAAAGAGTCAAATTGATGGTATTAAAATGTGTTAGTACTGATATTGTTACTCATATTAACACAATCCTCTCTCTTAATTAAAAAAAAGCTTCTATTTTTTTTATCTCTTTATAAATTCTCAGATTTTGTCTGTAGTAACAAACCATGCTGGCTGTTAATCCATTTTAATACACAAAATGAAAAGTGCCTCTTGTTACAGTTTTGTTTACCTATGAGACAATAAGAGAATATCAACATTCCCTGTGTGCATAAGCAGATGGGGAAGATGTATTATCAGCTACTGGTACTGAAAGATGACAGCCAAGTGATAATGTCTGTGCAAAAATTGTGTTTAGTACCAAAACATCTCAATGGATACATTTTAATGAAAGTTACAGGAAATACAGTAGTCCCTCGCTACTTTACGATTCGTTTTTCACGGACTTGCTCTATTGCGGTTTTTCAAAGTAAGATAGGATATGACACACAACTGGCTGATTGATGGATGAGCTGCACGATCGGCATGGGATTTTTATTTAAAATAAATTATTTTAAATTAGCATCTGCTGCACATTTGCCAAGATGGCCGCGCTCAGAGCAGTTGCAGCTTCACAGGCTCCTGGTACGATCCCAGTTTTTAGGAGTTTTGAAATTGACTCTGTGCCTGACTCCGCACGATTTAAGCGTGTGAACTATAGCCGAACCGAACTGATGAGAATAAGAGCAGATTTGCCACAAAATATAAAGACCTGATAAAAAGATTGATAATTTATCATCATTTATCATTTATTTATCGACCTGATTAAAAGACCTGAAGCTCTCGACCTTGACCTCTCTAAGTAGCTTTAAGTATCTGTTGGACTCCTGGCAAGGACCAATGCAGACATGTTCCTGTTTTTTTTTCTACATTCGCCTTATAATCTAGCTGTTTTTGCTACTTTTTTTGCCATCTTATTTTAATTTGGTAAAAAAAAATAAAAAAAAACCTGTATGCCTTTTTATAACTGTCTATTGTTGTTGTTGTTGTCCACTGTTGTCATCATTCTTTGTTGAAATCATGTTTCTCTTGTAAATGAGTCCTCGAGGCTCAATGAGATTAACCTGTCTAAATAAAGGTTGAATGAAATATAGCAGAAATCTGCAACGAAATCAAAATTATGCTCTGCAGAATGCAGATCTTAAAGTCATCTACCAGGAAGCTGCAGCAGAGCCGTTCCAATGGGCAGAAGAGGAAGTGCTGCTCCCGGCTTAAGAAGAGAGGACGCTGGGCGGGGGTTCTGGTGAGGCTACGTGCTAACGCTAACAATGGAAAACTCCCGATACCATCTCTCTTCCTGTCAAAGGTCCGCTCGTTGGACAACAAGATGGATTTGCTTTGTCTGAGAGCGGGTGCCTCATAAGAGATGATGAAGTGTGCGATGCTTTGCTTCACAGAAACGTGGATTACAAGCGAAATGCCGGATTCAGCCTTCCAACTGGATGACAGACTTTTTTTCGTGCGGATCGCTGCAGCGAGCTAATGGGGAAATTGAGGAGAGGAGGAGTAAGCATTTACATGAGTAAAAGTTGGTGCACAAACTGTACTCTGATTAGCCTTCATTGCTCCAAGGCTTATGAGCAGCTAACAGTGAAATGTCGACCACATTATCTAACCCGTGAGTTCACAGTGGCTTTCATAATGGTTGTTTACATAGCTCTGGATGCTAATGCTAATGAAGTTCTGCAGGAACTTCATGATCTCCACAGCTCGCTGCAGAGCAAACACCCTGAGGCTCTTTACATAGTGGCTGGGGACTTTAATAACGTGAATTTAAAAGACGGCCTCCTAAGATTTTACCAGCATGTGACCATCCCAACACGTGGAAACAACACACTTGACCGAGTTTACACGAACGTAAAAGATGCATACAAAGCTGAACCCTACCCCCACCTAGGACTATCGGACCACATCTCAATCTTCCTGGCCCCTGCTTACCTGCCCCCGCTGAGACATTCCAGACCAGTACAAAAGAAAGTTAAATGTTGGATCCAGGGCAGTGGCCCCATACTGAGAGATTGTTTTGAATGAACAGACTGGCAGGATTTCAGAGAAGCTGCTGAAAATGGAGGAGCGCTAGGTCTGGACCAATACGCATCCTCAGCCCTGGGGTACATTAGTAAATGTACTGATGACATCACCACCATCAGATATGGTACGAGCTACCCGAACAGAAAACCTTGGCTGAAAACAGAGGTGCACACCCTGCTGGAAGCCAGGAACACTGCCTTCAGGTCTGGAAACTCACAAGAGCTGAGAAGGACAAGGAAAGAGCTGGTTGCTGGTATTAAGAAGGCCAAGGCCACATATGCACAGAGGATCCAGGGTCAATTCATCTCACAATACCCACAGAGCTTGTGGAGGGACAATAAGTGTATAACAGATTATAAAGGCAGGAGTGAACAATGCCCCAAAGACACATCACTGCCCGATGCCCTCAACAAGTTCTACGCATGCTTCAAAGACCCAAATAGACCACCCAGCACCAGACTCATCTCACCACTGAATGAAGAGCTTCTCAGCGTGACCTCAGCAGAAGTAAGGAGTGCTTTCAGGAGGATTAACCCTCACAAGGCAACCGACCCAGACAACATCCACGGGAAAGTGTTGAAAGAATGTGCTGATCAGATCTGCGAGGTACTGGCCGACATCTTTAACTCCTCACTTAACCTGGCAACAGTTCCCACCTGCCTGAAGACCGCCACCATCATCCCAGTCCCAAAGAGCTCCACAGTGACTGGTCTGAATGATTATCAGCCAGTGGCCCCCATATCAAAATAACCATCAACAACAACGAAGACCCTCATCAGTATGCATACCGCAAGAACCGATCAACAGAAAATGCCATCTCCTCTGTGGTCCACACTGTTCTCACCCACCTGGACTGGGTACTAGACTTCTTAACCAACAGACCACAGTCAGTGAGGGCCCATAACTTCTCTTCCCCCACCATAACCCTCAGCACTGGCTCCCCTCAAGGATGTGTGCTGAGCCCTCTCCTGTTTACTCTGCTCACGTATGATTGTGCAGCTGCCCGTCCAGACTGTCACATTGTAAAGTTTGCAGATGATACAGCGGTGGTGGGATGCATCACAAACAATGATGAGTCCAACTACAGGCAAAAGGTGGAACACCTGAAGAGCTGGTGCAAAGAGAATAACCTTCACATCAATGTGAAGAAGACAACGGAGATGATCGTGGACTTCAGAAGGAACAAACACACCTACACCCCCCTGAACATAAGAGGATCTGCGGTGGAAGTGGTCTCCAACTACAAGTACTTGGGTGTACACATGAATGACAACCTCAGCTGGGGCAACACCACCACCAGCCTGATCAAGAATGCTCATCAGAGACTCTACTTCCTCAGGCGGCTGAGACGAGCTGGTCTGGGAAGCTCAGTCCTCACCTCCTACAGGTGTGCAGTGGAGAGCATCCTGTGCTCCAGCATCAACGTGTGGCATGGAGGCTGCACAGCCGCAGAAAGAAAAGCTTATAACTTATTACTGTTTTTCTTTTACATTTTATTGTTAGATGCAACTGGGATCCTGCGTACATATTCTCGTTCCACCACATGTACCATATGAGATGAATTGACAAATAAATCTCTCTGACTTTGATTCTGACATTTGTGCAGCCCACGCTGCAGGATAAGCTTCCTCCTGCAGCGTGTCAGGATCTCCGCTCTGCAGCGGAGAAGTAGGCGTGGCCGAGAGCGCAACCGGAGGCAGAGTGCTGAGATTATGACATGCTGTGCTCTTTTAGAGCGCTTAGAAACTTTGTTTAGAATATTCCAAGTGTGTGTGACAGGTTTAGAACGCCTTAATATATAAAGTGTATTCCTACTTCACTGTTTTTCACTGATCACAAGGCTTCAGGGTACGGATCCCCGGCGATAAAAACGAGGGACTACTGTAATCATCAGATGTACGATCTACAATTAATTTTTGGAGTCGCCCCAATTTAAGATGACTGCCACAGCCAAATGACCTTAAAAAACATAAAAATGACTACCAGTAACTAGTTTTACAGATAATGAGTGGAAATCTGTGGAGGTAGTAGGTTACGCCTACTTTAAATGCTACTTGTTGCATGAGATATTTGCCTAAAACTTTAGCAGTGACTGTTGGGAGTAAACACTGTCTTTAAGCAAAATACCTCAATAATCAGTGGACATATTCATGCAGACAATATCAATTCTTTCTGGGACTGCTAAGCTTTTAATTCTCTCAAGGTTGTCTGAAGTGACAAGAAACCTCAGATGAGATGTCTGTTCTGTTTCCAAGCTGTGGTCAGAGTCCAACCAGCTCATTCAACAGGGACTTACAGGAGTGAAGTCTATGGGGTAATAGCAGGACGTCACTTCAAACAGCTCCTCTGTGAATGTACCTGAGACAGCAGACAGGAGAACAAGAGGCAGAGCAAGTTACATAACCACTTCAGAGACACACAGGTAGGTGTATGTGTGTGTGTCATCACCTAAATTATATCCTTGCAGAATGATGTTACTGGCTATGTGGAAGGCTAACAGGAGGTTGCGAGGATCCCTCTCTCCATCCATTGATTGAACAAAACCAAAAACAAAGTCCGGTCCTAAACTCTTCAGCTCTGTGGCAAAGCAGATATATATTCAGACAAAAAAAAAAAGGAAGTTTTGTTCACAGAGTACTCTGACACAAATCATTGTACAAAGATGTGGCAAGTCATTTTAATAACTCAAGTTAGATGTAACAATTTACTACCGACAATTACAATAAAACAAATAGATGCCTCTGACTTTATTTTTGTAAAAAAACAAAGATTTACAAATAAACATTCAACAAACTGAACCAATTCCTATTTTGAAACTGTGATGTTCAATTTAATAATTTATGACGCTTACAAATGCTTTATCATTTAAAGTTGGGTACTTGCAGTGCATTATTATTTTTCACAAAGAAACAACTCATAAAGGCCTCCACAGTAAACACAGTGTTTAAATGTTCAGAATGTTATGTTTATGGCTATAAAGATGTTTTATTTCCATCTCTTCAAATGTTTGGTGTTTTCCTTTAACATGTAAAAATATCAATAAATTATTGAAGACTTTTAATTAAAAAAAAAAAAAACAAGGAACAGACGTCATAAAGAGTATTCATGTAAGAAATAAAGAGTTTAGTTTTATTTCTTTCATCTTTATCTGAAGTCTATTTTGCAGCTTTAGAAAGGGGCTCTCTTTTAATGATAATATCTGCAGACCCTGTTTAATCAAACTGCTGTGAATCACAAAAAGCCTGTCTCTTACCAGCTTCTCTGCTTTCCATGAGGTTGATGAGCATGTTGTAGACGCATGCTCTCTCAGCAAGCATTAATGACTGGGGGAAAATAAACAGACATAAATGAAGTGCATCACAGAAAGCAGAACATTCAAGAACATCATCAAAATAAATACATAAATAAATAATACAGTAGTCCCTCGCTACTTCGTGGTTCGCTGTATCGCGGATTTTCAAAGTAAGGTTGGTCATGACACAACTGGCTGATTGATGGATGAGCCATGTATTGTTTACTTAAAATAAATTATTTTAAATGATTTTACACAGGGGCAGCCTGGTGGCGCAACTGGTAGAGCTGCTGCCTATCAGCGAGTAGGTCCTTGGCCCAAATCCCGGTCCAGGGGCCTTTCTGGGTGGAGTTTTCATGTTCTCTCCATGCATGTGTGGGTTTTCTCCAGGTACTCCAGTTTCCTCCCACAGACCAAAAACATGCATGTTAGGCTGATTGGTAACTCTAAATAGTCCCTAGGTGTGAGTGAGAGAGTGAATGGTTGTTTGTCTCTATGTGGCCCTGTGATGGACTTGCGACCCATCCAGGGTGTATCCCGCTCCTCGCACAGTGATTGCTGGACATGGGCACCAGCGACCCCCGTGACCCAAAATGGAAGAAACGGGTAAAGATAATGGATGGATGGATGGATGGATGGACTTTACACCATGTGTGCAGCTTACAAGTGCAGGGGGAAGCTCCCTCCTGCAGCCGGTCATGATCTCCTTCTCTGCCACACACAAATTTCTGCTGCATCTTTGTGAAGGTTTCCCCTTTGCTGTCCAAATGCACTGATCGACTTTTGTCTTCCAACTTAGAATTCAAAGTATGTCGCATCGTAAAAATCATCATAATCACAAAATATAAAAGTGTTAAGTTATTTGTAATTATTTTAGAACTTCTATGTTCAGTTGTTTCAGTGTAATTGATCAAAAAATACATTTCTGATCCGTGCAGCAGAGCTCTGTGAAGCTGTGTGAAATCCTTTGATGTCCTGCTGCACTCCTCTTCTCTACAATTTAATTTTAAATACTGTAATATTTTTAATAAACAATCTATGCTGCATTGATTGTTTATTTAAAATGTTACAGTATTTAAATTTAAATTGTTTAATTAAGGAGAGAGATTGGGAGTAACAGGTGATGAGTGTGATTGCAGCCTGGCACATGTCATATTTACTGAACTTGAGCTGAACTTGGAACTTGGACTACTGTATCCATACTTTGTGGTTTTTTACTTATCGTATGTGGGCGTGGTCCCAAAAACCCACAATACACAAGGGACTGCTGCATATACATATATATATATATTAATATATATATATATGTATATATATATATATATATATATATATATATATATACATACATATATATACGTATATAT